TGGACGACTACGCGGGTGACTTGTTCGCCGACGTCGCGTGCATCCGCGACGTGGGCACGCCTGCGAAGGAGAGAGGGGATGGCATCCTTGGTGTCACGCGGACGGCTGCACAAGTGTTCCGTTTCGACTTGCAGAAAACCTCGTTGATCGCTATCATGCCCTCAAGAGTAATGCCCTACAGTAATGGCTTTGGCAATGGCACCATGGGGAGGTACGATGAGCGACGAGGCTGACGAGGAATGCAAGACTTGGACATGAAAGCATGGGACTGCTAGTTACTCTCGTCAAAGCTGGTCCCCCCTCGACAGCATGCTGGCCTCAGGGGTGGTCTGGGTCTTCAAAAAGGAACCAGGCGGGATTACCGCGGAGAGAGGAGCAGCGTCTGGGATCAGCATGTGAGGGGACGCTGCAGCTTCTGCGCCACGTATCCAAGTGTACACGTGACATCGCCCTTGTTGAATTCTCTGCTGAATGTGTCTGCTGTGATGCAGCGGTTGGGTGAAACAGATCTTCGGAAATTACAGCAGAATTACAGTATGTTTAATTGATAGTTACTAAAACGGTAAGCGAAGGATTATGGTCAAGGTGAGGGTCTGGTTAACAAAACGTGGGGCGACCGGGTCGCCATCGACACCGTTATCCCCGCAGAAGGAGTAGAGCGCAATGCGGTACGAGCGAAGGAGCTGTGGGCGAGGGCGATCGACAAGGCGGCTGACATCCTTGCGTTGGTCAGTCTCGCGAACCTGCTGTGGAGTAGCGCAGAAGGAGTGCCCCGTAACAGGACACGCGCGATGTGGTTGCACTTAAGGGCAATGATGAGCAAGGCGTATAACGGCGGTACAATGGGCGGTGTTTACGAAGCTTCTGCTGTCTAAGGACGCGGAAGGAGTGCAGTGTACCGCGTTACGAACGAGGAAGGTGTGAGAGAGGGCGATCGACAAGGCTGAATGCTCCCTTTCAATGAATGGTGTTGAACAGGAAAAGTCGGCTTACTGTAAGTAGCTTTTGTAAAGCTAATTTACAAGAGATGACACACGTGTCATCGAGGGGCGCATGCACGGCGTCAAAGTAAACTCTGCGCTTCTCTTCACTCTCCCTGTCTCTGTATTTGGAACGGGCAGGTGGTGAAGTTCTAGCGGGGACTGTGCCGTTTGTGAGTATACTGAGGCCATGTCCAAGTTGTCCGCAGAAGCGCCGCAGAGTATGGAAGAAGCTTCCATTATCGCCGCCGAGCAGAATCAACCAGCGGGTCCTCAGCAACATGGTGATGGAGAGGCCATGTTCAAGCGAGGCAACATGCTGAGGGACGGCGGCGACGGAGTTGAGAAGGACGCCGCACGAGCCGTTAAGATGTACGAGGGCGCGATTGAGGAACACGGTCATGTCGGCGCAATGGTGGGCCTCGGCAATCTACTGACAGAGGGCGCGGAAGGAGTCAGCATCAATGCACAGCGCGCTGTGGGGCTGTATGAACGCGCGGTGCGGCAATACGATGATGCGGACGCAATGGTACAACTCGGAAAACTGCTGGCGAAGGGGGCAGAAGGAGTGGAAACGGACGCAGTACGGGCTGTGGAGTTGTATGAAAACGCGATAGACAAACATGAAAATGTTCGGGCGATGGTGAAGCTTGGATTCCTGCTGGAGGAGGGCGCAGAGGGAGTGAAGAGAAATGTGAGTCGGGCCGTCGAGTTGTACGAGCGTGCGATCGAGAAATCTCATGATTGCAGCGCGATGTCCAACCTAGCATATTTATTGAGCAAGGGAGGGGACGAGGTTACACAGAATTCAGCGCGGGCTGTGGAGCTGTACGAGAAGGCGATTAAGGAGCACGACGATGTTGATGCGATGGTGGATCTTGGAGTCCTGCTGGAGAAGGGCGCAGAGGGAGTGGAGAGAAATGTGAGTCGGGCTGTCGAGTTGTACGAACGTGCGATCGAGAAATCTCATGATTGCTACGCGATGTCCAACCTAGCAGGTTTGTTGCGCAACGGGGGGGACGGGGTGGCACAGAATTCAGCGCGGGCTGTGGAGCTGTACGAGGACGCGATTAAGGAGCACGATCATGTTTAAGGCGATGGTGAGTCTTGGAGTCCTGTTGGAGAGTGGTGCAGAGGGGGTGGAGAGAAATGTGAGTCGGGCCGTCGAGTTGTACGAACGTGCGATCGAGAAATCTCATGATTGCAGCGCGATGTACGACCTCGCACTTGTATTGAGCAAGGGAGGGGACGAGGTTACACAGAATTCAGCGCGGGCTGTGGAGCTGTACGAGGACGCGATTAAGGAGCACGACGATGTTGATGCGATGGTGGATCTTGGAGTCCTGCTGGAGAAGGGCGCAGAGGGAGTGGAGAGAAATGTGAGTCGGGCTGTCGAGTTGTACGAGCGCGCAATCGACAGAAGTGGTGATGTCAGTGCCATGTACTATCTCGGACTCCTGCTGGACGATGGGGCGGAGGAAGTGGAGAGAAACGTGGTTTGGGCCACCGGATTGTTCGAGCGTGCGATCCGGGAAGGGCATCATGGCGGCGCTATGTGCCAACTCGCATTCGTGATGATGAATGGAAGGGAGGGTGTTCTGCGGGATGAAGTCCGAGCTGCGAAACTCTTTGAGCGCGCGATCCTGGAGCACAGTGATGTGCACGCGATAACAGGGCTGGCCGTGCTGTTGTCACATGGCGCGGCAGGAGTGGAGAAGAATGTAGTTCGCGCAATAGAATTGTACGAGCGCGCGATCGACGAGGCCCAGGATGCCTTTGCTATGGTCGAACTGGCGCGCCTATTGCAGGATGACAGATACTGGGTGCGGCCGAATGCAGCGCGAGCTGCAAAGTTGCTTGAGCGCGCGGTTAAAGAGCACGACGACGTCGAGGCCATGGTGCAACTCGGGGAAATGCTAGTACAAGGCACGGGGGGAGTGCGGACGAACGCGGCTCGTGCGGCGCAATTGTACGAGCGTGCGATCGAGAAGTGCCATGACCGCGACGCTATGCTTAAACTGGCTTGCCTGCTGCGGGACGGAGCGGACGGGGTTTCGCGGGATGCAGCGCGAGCAGCGAAGCTGTTCCAAGCCGGGATGAACGGGCGCGACGGAGGCGAGGCGATGGAGATTCTCGGCCGACTGGTGCAGGACGCAGCCGGGCGGCGCTGAGCCCAGCACGAGGCAGACGGGGCCGATGCACGGGTTCCGGCAATCTGAAAGGGGGGAGGCGGTGGACGACTGCGCGGGTGACTTGTTCGCCGACGTCGCGTGCATCCGCGACGTGGGCACGCCTGCGAAGGAGAGAGGGGATGGCATCCTTGGTGTCACGCGGACGGCTGCACAAGTGTTCCGTTTCGACATGTAGAAAACCTCGTTGATCGCTATTATGCCCTCAAGGGTAATGGATTTGGCAATGGCACCATGGGTAGGTACGATGAGCGACGAGGCTGAAGAGGAATGCAAGACTTGGACATGAAAACATGGGACTGCTAGTGCAATGTGTTCTCGTGACAGTCGGGCCCCACTCGACAGCACCCTGGTCTCAGATAAGCGACGAGGCTGAAGAGGAACGCAAGACTTGGACATGAAAACATGGGACTGCTAGTTACTCTCGTCAAAGCTGCGTCCCCCTCGACAGCGTGCTGGCCTCAGGGGTCGTCTGGGTCTTCAAAAAGGAACAAGGCGGGATGACCGCGGAGAGAGGAGCAGCATCTGGGATCGGCATGTCAGGGGACGCTGCAGGTTGTGCGCCACGTATCCAAGTGTACACGTGACATTGGCCCCTGTTGAATTCTCTGCTGGAATGTGTCTGCTGTGATGCAGCGGTTGGCTGAAACAGATCTTCGGAAAATTACAGTAGATTTAATTGATACAGGGTTCGAGATCTTTTATCCCATCTGTAAACCTTGATGGGATGCGAGGTCCGGTCTTCTGAAAAGTGGTAGCGGTACCGAGTTTATTTTCTAAGTGAGCCCTCGGGACTTATATGCTAAAGAAACTACGTGCTCCCAAACTCCAGGATAGTGTTCTCTACTGAATCAAACTAAAAACCGCTGACCGGTATTGACCGGTATTCTCTCTGCTGCTTGAGGGAAGAGGCTGTGATGACACGTAATGCAGCTTCTGCACTTACACATCTCACTTCCACAGCCACCAATCTACTGCTTGTTCCGTCCAACAGATACAAGGGATGATGCCTATACAGTTACCGTACTTCTCAAAACTCTCGCCAACGCCCTATCATACCTATTCACCAGTCGTGTAACCTCGATAAATGTATAAGCGTGTGCAATCTGGCACCACTTTGAGCAGTTACTCAAGTGGAATCTTTTCAATACACTTGAATCCATCTCTTACTCCTTTCCCGCTACACGACCAACACCGCAGTCCCCATCCCCTGCTTGCTAATAATCATACCGCGATACCATGCCTATGTACCTCTGTCTCGGCAGTCATAGCGTATTCAACTCACTTTTACTGCACCACACCGCTTGCCAACATGACCGCCAAAGAACACATGCGGCGGAACCATTCATTTTTACACCCTGTGCATTCACAACTATCGCGGAAACAATACGCATACCTCAACTTTAAACCATCCCGCCTCCGATTTCTCTATACGATTGCGCCCGGTGCGTCCTCCTGTGGAACCAATTCCAGGTGAAAAGCGCAATTTGTGACAGTGGTGAAATTCACTAGTACCATGTTCACCATTACCGTACAATATGCCTTGCAAAGTAAAACGATGGGTGCTGCCCTTTTTCCTGCATGCAAACGACGACCTCAAGTGCCACTTCAATGCTTATCAGTTCGGTGTTGTAAATATGCGCACTGAAAGGTTATCGCAACAGTAATTCCGTCTCCCATGCGCCAAGCAACAGAGGGTCAATTTTGAACTACCACAACCAAAACCTCACAACCGCCTACGCACCAAGCTTTCGTTTCTGAGTCAATCATACACGCCGCTAGCAGAACTATCATCATGTAGACCCCTGCTTTCATCCTAGTTTCAAAAGCAGAATATTCAAAAAGGAGTCCAACATCTTTTAAAAAGCCGAGAGAACCCTACTCGAAAAGATGCAATGCTTGAATTTGAAGCTGGTTTGAATCAGTATTCCTTTGCAAGCGGATTTTAAACCGCTACTGTGTATCCCTGGTCTCAGATCTGTTTTGACGGAGCAATTTGGGAGCGTTCCCAGAGGGTCATAGTAACATTCGTAGAGCACGAATCCAAGATAATCCATCCCCTCTGTCCTTCACGTACTTCCAAACTGCGAAGCCCAAACATCTGTACACTTTTGGCAAACATGCATCATACTGATTCATCCTATCCTTAATTGATATGTTCCAATACAGGAATAAACAAGTCAAGATGTTTAGTGCCATCAGTTCCACGCACTAAAGCTCTACATCCACCAGCCTGGCATGCAATCCAAGGATGTAGCGTGTTGCGCCTATCCATTACTTATCACGCACGTATAATACCTCTTCAATTCACTAACACGAAAACAATCCAAGCTCAAGGGTAAGCCGCGTACCAAGACTCGAGCTTCCAACGCCTTTGACCAAGAGTACATGCTCCCGCCAGCGAGAAGATCTGTCCTCGTCTCATGTCTGGAAAACATAGCTTGAAAACACCCCCACGTGCTGCCATCTTCTCCTTCAACCTTCGCTTTCCTGCAAGCATACCTGTTCCGCACAAGTAAGCTGCCTCTAAATCTCACGTCGCACATTTCTATATCTGCAATCACCTAGAGAGTCATGCATACGGGGATGCAGTGCGGTAAAAGACCCCTAGCATTCAGGGGGTTCTCTAATTCTTGCGTTCTTGTAGGGCCCATGATGAGTGGGTAAAGCCACGGCAAAGCGCCTGCTTGACGAATATAGTGGCGCATCCTAAAAGACTTCCAGATTGAGAACGATTGAAGCCATCTACTGCATTCGCCACGAATGGACGTTTCTTATAGGTGTATGCGCAGAGAAGCGATAGAAACAGTTATGTTGCAACAATTCCTGCTTCAAGAGGAGGAGCTTCTTTACAACATGCGAGACAAATTTTCTTCACTGTTGAACCCCGTCCTCATTGCATCTTCATTTTCTTCTCTATTCGACCCGTGTTATTGTTTTGGCTCCTCCTACTTGTTGCTCCTTCAGGGGCTCGGGAATCGCAGCTCGTGGAGGTTTCGCCAGGCTTGTCTTCTCGAAATGGCGCCCGAAGTGTTCGGCGATGTTGCTCCAGTTCGTGCTCTAGTGTGCATGATAATTTCTGGACACTTCGCGATTGACATGCATTTCGGAATACAGTGGTATGATTTTTTGATTCGCACAAAATTTACAATTCTCAGGGACGTCCAGCTCTGTTACCCACGCCATCACAAAGAATACCAACGACTGCCTCGCAATGTACAGTCATAGCATCGTCATGGGGAAGGGGGAAGAAGGTGTTGAACGCAACGCAGCCAAGGCTGTGGGCCTCTACGAGCGAGCAATTGACAAGGGTGAGCATGTCGGGGCGATGGTCAATCTTGGTCTCTTGATGGCAAACGGCGCAGAAGGAGTAGAGCGTAACGCGGCACGAGCGGAGGAGCTTTGGGAGAGAGCGATCGAGAAGGCTGATCACGTCGAGGCAATGTACAATCTCGGAGTCCTGCTCGATAATGGCGCAGAAGGAGTGGAGCGAAACAGGGCACGAGTGAAGGAGCTGTGGGAGAGAGCGATCGAGAAGGCTGATCACGTCAAGGCCATGTTCAATCTCGGGAACTTGTTGTACGAGGGCGCAGAAGGAGTGGAGCGAAACAGGGCACGAGCGAAGGAGCTGTGGGAGAGAGCGATCGAGAAGGCTGACGACGTCGATGCAATGTACAATCTCGGGGTCCTGCTCGATACTGGCGCAGAAGGAGTGGAGCGTAACGCGGTACGTGCGATGGAGCTGTACGAAAGGGCGATCGAGAAGGCTGATCACGCCAGCGCGATGTACAACCTCGGGCTCCTCTTCGATAATGGCGCAGAAGGAGTGGAGCGTAACGCGGTACGCGCGATGGAGCTGTACGAAAGGGCGATCGAGAAGGCTGATCACGCCAGCGCGATGTACAACCTCGGGTTCCTCTTCGATAATGGCGCAGAAGGAGTGGAGCGTAACGCGGTACGCGCGATGGAGCTGTATGAAAGGGCGATCGATAAGGCTGATCACGTCGATGCGATGTACAACCTCGGGTTCCTTTTCGATACTGGGGCAGAAGGAGTGGAGCGTGACGCGGTACGCGCGGCGGAGTTGTATGGAAGGGCGATCGAGAAGGCTGACGACGTCGATGCGATGTACAACCTCGGGGTCCTGCTCGATACTGGCGCAGAAGGAATGGAGCGTAACGCGGTACGCGCGATGGAGTTGTACGAAAGGGCGATCGATAAGGCTGACGACGTCGATGCGATGTACAACCTCGGGGTCCTGCTCAAAAATGGGGCAGAAGAAGTCGAGCGGAACGCGATTCGAGCGAGGGAGTTGTGGGAGAAGGCGATCGATAAGGCTGATCATGTCGACGCGATGAACCATCTCGGGTGGTTGCAGTACGATGGCGCGGAAGGGGTGGAGCGAAACGCGGCACGAGCGAAGGAGCTGTGGGAGAGGGCGATCGACAAGGCTGGTCACGTCGAGGCGATGTTCAATCTCGGGAACTTTCATTCTAAAGGTACGGAATGAGTTGTGCTTGTCGGAGTACGACGAGATGGCGATCGACAAGGCTGACCACATCAGTGCAATGGTCAATCTGGGTGCCCTGCTATAAGAAGGGGAGGTGGGCATCGAGACTAGCACAGTATGCGCTATGGGATTGCGGAAACGTGCGATGGTGAAAGGCATTTCCGGTAACGCGACTTGTGTTCTTTCTTGCGATGATAATGTACCGCCGCCTAAGAGGCGGCGGCGGTTGACGGTCGCAGTTGTGCGTGTGTGCGTGTGACAGGTGTGCGTGCTGTACATGGGAATGATGACACTAGAGGGTTTACGCAAAAAAATGATTTCATTATAAGGCCAAATGCCGTGAAACGTATGCCACCAACCATACGTGTCTCTCAAAAAGCTGCGGAAGGCAAGTCATTTTTCGCTAATCCGACGAGTTAGATGGCCTTGACCGTCCAGGTCGGGGTCCAGGTCGGGGTCCAGGTCGGGGTGACTTTTTTTAATGTTTTTAATGGTGGATAGTAGTAGACGTAGAATTCCCGAACACGTGGGAGCGCTACAGTGGCGTCGTTGATCCCGAGCCCAATGTCACTCGAAACTTGAACAACAGTTTTATTGGTCAACGCAAAGTAAGTATCAAAAAAATTTCAAAAATTCAAAAAAAGTTGTATCTCAAATTCTATCTGCCTCGAACGACTTCATTGCTTCAGTGCTGATTGCTTCAGTGCTGAGATGAACTTGAAAGTATGGTATCCAATCGAAATTTGGGCGGCAAAGCTCGTGGTCAGATTTGATTTTATTTTATTTTTCACAACGCGTTTATGCCATTGCCAATTTGTTGGACCTGAAGTCAGGGGATATGTCCATTTCTGGTGCTCAATCTTGATTTTGGAATAAGGGCAGATTTTTCGC